TTTTTTATTTTGGGGAAGATAGGGGTCACCCTATTTTAATATGTAAAAAAAAAAATTTTTCTGGACAAAGAATAAGAGGTTCTTTTTTTTGCAAAATGATTTGTCCCAGGCTGAAAAAGTCGCAGTGGCGTTTATGTCCGCTGTTTTTTTTTTTTTTTGGGAAATTAAATTAAAATTTTTGCCAACTACAAATGTTTAAGCCTTTTCCCAACCCTTTTTGGCTTTTTTTCAAAGCCCAAAATTCTTCCACCTTCCAGCCCTTCCTAAAGTAAAAAAAACCTTTTTTTTGGCAACCAAACAAAAAGGCAACAATTTGCCAAAACCTTGCCTTACCAAGCTTTTTATTTCCCCTTAATTACTTTTTTTTTATATTTTTTTTCCAATTTTTTTTTTTTTTTTAACAAATGTAAACAATCTTTGAAGTTTTTTTGGCCTTTTTTTTTTTTTCCAAATTTTTTTCTATTTCCTAAATTTTACCCCAAAGGTTACAATGGTTAAGATTTTTTTTTTCAAAAAGGTTCCAAAAAACTTTTTTTCCCCAGAAATTTTGTCTTTTTCAAAAATAAGTTAAAAATTATGGTCCTTTTTTCCCAACACTAAACCCTAATAGATTTTTTTTTTTTTTTAAAGAATTTCTAAAACCTTTTACTTAAAAATTGTTTTTTTTTTTTTTAAATCCAATAAAATTTTTGGGAGTAAATTTTTTTTTTCTGAAAACTTTTCCCTTTATTTTCTTTTCTTTTTTTTTTTTTTTTTTTTTACATTGATTTTTTTAAAAATTTTTTTTTATTCTTTTTTCTTTTTTCTTTTTTTTTTTTTTTTTTTTTTTTTTTTTTTTTTTAAGAAGAACCCCAAGAGTCCCTTTTTTTTGTTTTTTTTTTTTTTTTGTTTTTTTGCCCTAGGCCCTTTGGCAGGTTTGGGCAGTGGCAAATGAAAAAAATTTTTTTCATAGGCTCACTGTTTAAAAAACCTTGAACCTCCTTTTTGGGTTTTTCAAAAGTGTTTTTTTTTTTTTTTTTTTTTTTCTTTCCCTTTCCCATCATTTTTTTCCCAGGAGCTTTTAGGACTGCAGGCAAACAAAATTTGCCCACCATGGCCCAAAAACTTAAATTTTTTTTTTTTTTTTTTTGCTTTTTTTTTTTTTTTTTTTTTGTTTAAAAGGAAGAAAAAGTTTTTCCTTTTTGTTTTGGGTGTTGCCCCCTCAAAAAAACCACCTTTTTCCCTTTGGCCCTTTTTTCAAAGCCAGGTCCCCCTGGCTTTTTTAAACCCCCTTTTCCCCAAAATGCTTTGGGATTTTTTAACCAGGGCCATGAAAAAGCCCACCCAAACTTTTCCTTTTTTTGGGCCCCTGAATTTAATGTTTTTTTAATTTTTTTTTTTTTTTTTTGTAAAAAAAAGCAATTTTTTTTTTTAAAATAAATCTTTTTTTTTTTGGTAAAAAAAAAAAGAAAAGTTAAACCAGATTTCCCCCTCTTTTTCCCTTTTTTTTGAATTATGAAAAAAAAGGAAGTTTTTAAAGCTTTGGGGGGTTCTTTTTTGTGGTATGGAGTTTTTTTTTGGTGGGAGAAAATTTGGGGGGAAGTCCCAATTTTTTTTGAAAAATTCCAAAATTTTTTGAAAAAAAAATTTTTTCTTTTTTTTATTTTTTTATTTTTTTAATAAATTTTTTTTGGTTATGTTTTAAATTTTAAAAAATTGTTGGAATTCTTTTTTTTTTTTCTTTTTGGGGAAAGAAAATTTCCAAAAAGAATTTTCCCCAATTTTAGATTCCTCCCAAAAAAAGGGGAAAAAATTTGCATGGAAAACCCTTCCGAAAAAAAACCTGGTTTGAGTTTTGGGTTTCTTGAAGGGTTTGGGGGAAAGGGGGGGACCTTTTTTTTTTCAAAGTTTTTTAATTTTTTTTTAAAAAACCCCTTTTTTTTTTTTTTTTTTTTATAATCATTTTGAAAAAAATTTTTTTTTGAAAAACCACAAAATTGATTGTATTTGGCCACTTTTTTTTTTTTTTTCCAAAAAAAAACGGCGCAATAGCAAAATTTTTTTAAAAAAACCCCATTAAAAGGGTTTGGCCAAAGCTTTTTTTGGGATTGGCCCCCTTTTTTCAAAAATTATTTAAAATCTTCAAAAGAATGAAAGATTTTCTTTTTGTTTTTTTTTTTTTCTTTTGGAAAAGGGGAAAACAAAGTTTTTTTTTCCCTTTTTTTTGGTTCAAAATTTTTTTTTTTTATTTTTCAAAAAAAACCTGGGGGCTTTTTTTTTTTTTTTTTTTTTTTTTTTTTACGTTAACTTTAAGACCAAATACTGGCTTAAAGAGTTTTTCCCTTTTTTTTTTTGCCCAAGGTTCCTCCCCGCACTTCCCTAAAACCACTGCCCCAGTTACCGTTAAAACCTCCTCCCAAAGTTCTTTTTCTTTTTGGTTTTTTTTTTTTTTTTTTTTGCAAGTAGTTAAAAAAATTTAAAACTTTGCCAAAGGTTGGGTTTTTTTTTTTTTTTGTTTTAAATGGAAAAATTTTTTTAAACAATTTGAGATTTTAAAAAACATAATATTTGTAAAAAGCATCTTTAAAGCACAAATGTTTTTTCCTTTTTTTTTCTTTTTTCCTTTCAAATATAAAATTTTTTTTTTTTTTTTCCTCTTTTTTTTTTTTTACAGGGACATCTTGAAGATAACGCAAGTTAAAAAAAACTTGCCTTTTGGTCCCCCTTTCCAAAAAAGAAAGATTCTACCCAAAAACCGCCAGGGTGGTTCCTTCCTTTTTTCGAAATCAAAAAGCTGTTTTTTTTAACAAAGTAACAATTTTGAAAAAAAAAACAAAACAATCCTTTGGCTTGCTTTTTTAAAATTGTTTTTAAAAGTTTTTATTTTTTTTTTTTTTTTTTTCCCCAATGTCCCCCCAAATTGTAAAAATGGGTACCCATAGTTTTTTTTTCTTTTTATTTTTAAAAACAAAAAAAAAAAAAAAAAAAATTGTTTTTATAAAGGAACACTTTTATGGAGCCCTCCAGGCTCCCTTTTTTTTTTTTTTTTTTTTAAATAAAAATTTATACCTTTTTTTTTTTTTTCTTTTTGTTGCCCCTAATTTTTCCACCCATGATGGTTTTTAGGCTTGGTTTTTTTTAAATTTTTTCAAAAAAATTTTTTTTTTAGATTTTTGGGACTTTCTTGGTTTTTGAAAAATTCCAAATGGGGAAGAAAAACCCCACAAGTAAAAAAGCCCCCCCCACCTTTTTTTTTGGGAAGGGAAAGATTTTTAAAATTGTTTTAGGAAATCTTTTTTTTTTTTTGGCTAGGGGAAATTTACACACACACACGTAAAAAAGATTTGGAGATAGGGTCTTTATATGTAAAAAAATTTGGAGATAGGGTCTTGCAATGTTGTCCAGGCTGAAGTGCAGTGGCTAGTCACTGGTTTGATCATAATGCACTACATGTAGCCTTCAACCCCTTGGCTCAAGCAATTCTCCCACCTCAGCCTTCCTAGTAGCTGGCACAACAGGCACATGCCACTGCTCCCAGTTATTCTAATACTTTATAGTTTCATTTTTACATGTAAATCTTTGATTTGCTTCAAATTTATCCTAATACAAGGTATGGTTAGATTCAGGTCACTTTTTTCCCAGATGTCTCAATAGTATTGTCTCAACACTACTAATAGATTTTAGATTCTAACTTTATTAAATTGTTATCCATAATTGGGAGTATTTTTGAACTTCCTATTCTTTTTTACTGATTTAAAATTTTTCTTTTCTTTTTTTTTTTTTAAGAGACAGAGTCTTGTTTTGTTGCCTAGGCTGGAGTGCAGTGGCATGATCATAGCTCACTGTAACCTTGAACTCCTGGGTTCAAGTGTTTTTTCTTCCTCATCATTCCAGGTAGCTAGGACTGCAGGCACATGCCACCATGCCCAAAACTAATTTTTTTTTGCTTTTTGTAGAGAAAAGGTCTTGTTGTGTTGCCTCACACTCCTGGCCTCAAGCAGTCCTGCTTTACCCTCCCCAAATGCTGGGATTACAGGCATGAGCCACCACTCCTGGCCCTGATCTGTTTATTTTTGTAGCATTTTAATATCTGGTAGAGCTAATTCCCTCTCCTTAATATGAGAGTTTAAGCTGGGGTCTGTGTATGGAGTTTGTGGGAGATGGGGGGAAGTCCATGAATCCAATGAAATTCTATTTATTTATAATTTTGGTTGTATATGTGATCTTTTCTGGGGAGAAATCCAGATTTCATTAGATTCTCAAAGGGATGCATGGACTCAAAAAACTGGTGATGGTTGAGGTGGGAGGGGGACTTCATTATTTTACCCTTTTATATCTTTTGAATTTTGAACCACATGATTGTATTGCCTTTTCAAAAAAGCGCATAGCATTTTAAACATTAAGGTGACCAACTGGATGGCCCTTCAATATTATCTCAAGAATGAGCTCTGTTGAAAGGGAACAGTTCTTGGTCATTTATTACTGGCTTTTTTTTTTTTTTTTTTGAGACAGAGTCTCACTTTGTTGCCCAGGCTAGAGTGAGTGCCGTGGCGTCAGCCTAGCTCACAGCAACCTCAAACTCCTGGGCTCAAGCAATCCTCCTGCCTCAGCCTCCCGAGTAGCTGGGACTACAGGCATGCGCCACCATACATTTTTAGTTGGCCAATTAATTTCTTTCTATTTATAGTAGAGGCGGGGTCTCGCTCTTGCTCAGGCTGGTTTTGAACTCCTGACCTTGAGCAATCCGCCCGCCTCGGCCTCCCAGAGAGCTAGGATTACAGGCGTGAGCCACCGCGCCCGGCCTTATTACTGGCTTTTTTACGTTACTAGACATACTGCTAGAGTTCTTTGCCAGGTCGCCTTCTAAACCACTGCCAGTTACGTTACCTCCAGTTCTCGTTTTTTTGCAGTAGTAAAAAATAAACTTGCAAGGTGGTTGTATGGATTACATGAGATAATATATGTAAAGCATCTAGCACAAATGTTCTTTCTTTTCTCAATATAATTTTTTCTCTTTACAGGGAATCTGAAGATACAGTACTGCTGGTCCTCAAAGAGATCTACCAAACCCAGGGTGTCTTCCTCGATCAGCCTTTACAGTAAAAATGACACATCTATGGCTGCTTAATGTAAGTTTTTCCATGTCATGTATGTAGCATAGTTCTTATTAACATGTTATAAGGAACTATGGAGCCTCCAGCTCTTTATAAATATACCTTTCTGTTGCCTATCACCATGATGTAGGCTGTCAATTCATTTTTAGATGGACTCTGGTTGAAATTCATGGGGAAAAAAGCACAGTAGCCCACTTGAAGATTAATGTAGGAATCTTTTGCTAGGGATTTTGTCCAATGACACCTATCATTTTTAGGATCTGAACTCAGAATCTTAATAGTTCTGATCATCTTAGAGTTATCATGGCAACAGCTATAATTTTAAACAACCCATCTGGAGATTTAAATTACTCGGCCTTTTAGATGTGAACCTAGAAAGACTGTATTCGACTCTGGCATTCTCCATGGTTGCCTTCTGTTGTGATCGTACGATGACCTCTTCTCCCACTCTCTCCCCCACACAGACACTGAGGGGTCCTCCCCCAGAAAAGCCACCTGTTTGTTGCTGCAATTTTCCTCTCCTCAGCTGCGTCATTTCCTGCATGTTGCCTGCCACTTACTCACCAGTGGGGTCTCTGGAAGATAATCTTCCTTTTTGGAAATGAACGGACAAGCAAAGGGAAGACCCTATTACTTTTTACCACTGGCTTTCATGTAAGACTTGCCGTCGTTTCTTCATAGCTGGAAGTGGTTTGCAGCCTCAATTCTCTGACAGTGGTTGACAGGTGCCACACTTGATTGCGTAGGACTTGAGATGGTGTAAAGTCTGTTTGGGGTTTGATTTGTTTGGGGCTGGGTAGACTTTTTCCTAGGAAATTATTGCTTATCTTTAGAACACGTTCTGGTTTGAAAGCGGATTCTTGGGATGTAGAGGGCATTTTGTGGTATACTCATCCATCATTTGTGTTCTCTGCACCTAAAGGCTAAGTTTGATTAGTTACAGAAAAGGCAAATTTTCAAAAAATTGGGCATTTTTTTCCCCTTGAACCAGCATTTCTTTCCCATGTGTACTGTATGAAGAAAGGTTAGAATGTAGCTTAAAAAGAGTATTGTTTACTCTCTTACAACTGACTGACAGACTTAATTGCTTGGAATCACTGATACTATTCATTGTTTTTATAATTTTTTAAGTTGCTGTAAAAGTCTAAAGTGAACAATTTACTTCATGTTAGGTGCATCTTTATAAAGCAAAGATGTTATATGTCCTAGACCTGCCCTTTTATGTTATACTCCAAATTGAGAGACTAGATAAGGCCTGACTTAGTTATTTGATAATAACGGTATAGCCAACGTAAGAACAGAAGCTGTAAAAGTTGGCAAACCTGAAATTACACAGCCTGAACAGGCTGTTTAGGTTATAAATAAAATCTTTTAGTGGTACCTTTATGGTGAAACAGAATTTAAGTCATCTGCCATTTCCACTCAGGTGAGAGTGCTATCATATATTCTCTCTAAAAACATTTGGCAAACATCATTGCCGCCTTAGGTATCCGGAATCCAGAATGCTTAAAAGGCTCTTGGCACAGGCACAGTTGGTTGAGAAGGTGGGTTTGTCTAGGGGAAAGCGTTTAATTATGGAAAAAAAAAATACCTACGTCCCAGGAACAGTTCCTGCAGAGTCCGTGTCAGCTAAGTCTGGAACATGCAAATTGAGATTTACTTCAAAGAATGCATGTGACTGCAGAGACCAGTTTTTCTCCAAGGCATCATCTCACCACTTTGCTGTAGGTATTTTCTTCCTTGTGGGTCAGAGTTTGTCATTGTTTGTCCTCTTTGTGATAATCCTTGGCACTCCCTCGCAGATTCCACGGACTTGTTTATAGGGTGGTCCCGGCAGGCAAGCTGTGCTTTGTTTTTTATAAATTTTTGTAAATGTATCATGGTATCCAAAGTATTGGCATGTAATAGTCATTGAAGCTGTCCTTAGACAGCAGTGTCTTTATTGCTTTAGAGAAAGAAGGGTAATTACTATTGCCCTGGAGGTTGTAGAGGTGAAGTTGGGGTCAACCCGGCCTTTCCTGGTCATCTGCTTATGGCTAAAGCTGAATAAGCACACCACTAACACATTTCATATATATGGAATACTTTGTTTTCTTTATTATATAAACTCTGAGTAAGGGTTATTGAAGAAGCATTAAGAAGCATTTGCTATATATTAAAGGGGAAGCTCTTGTCAAGTTGCTGTCTTCAAATTTATGCTTACTCTTCATAATAGCACAATAGGTGCTATTTAAGAGTGAACCAAAGGACAAGCAAGAGTGAGTGCCTGTAACCAAAGACAGACAGCATAACCCTGGATAGCCAGATAAACCTCTCTTTATACTAAGCAATGTTTCTTTCCTGCTGGTGAGAGGCGGATAACTGTAAAAGAGCTTTATATCTCATCCATCCACCTGTGCTTTTATTATGGCTGTATATGACACAGGGTAATAAGCGTGACTGAGATTCTTTAGTCATAGATTATTTGCACTGCTTCATTTGTGTCATGTGCAATATTTAGAGCAAGCCTGTTTTTAAACTCTGGTACAGCATCATTTGGTACATATTCCTAGCTGCAGAATTAGTATTATTTATCTCAGCAAGAGATTGTTTGCATGGAAAGATTAGTAGCACTGATTAACTTTCTACGATTTTGCACTTTTGAAATGTTTGTTTTTTACGTGATTATATTTAAACTTTAGTAAATACTGAAATAAAACCGCATTGACCAGTTGCTTACTTTTACCTGGACTCATCCATCATGTAGTAAAAAAAAAAAAATCAATACAGTAACTATTTTCCCTTCCCCTATGTATTACTATAATAAATTTAAAAAATAAATGATCCATCCTCAGCAAGAGTGAGACCCGTCTCTACTAAAAGTAGAAAAATTAGCTGGGCATGGTGGTGCATGCCTGAAGTCTCAGCTATTTGGGAGGCTGAGGCAGGGGGATCGCTTGAGCCCAGGAGTTTGAGGTTGCTGTGAGCTACAATGATGCCACCGCACTCTAGCCTGAGCAATAGAGTGAGACTCTGTCTCAAAATGTAAATAAATAAAATAAAAGTTTTGGGCAAAGAATGAATATTTAAGTTATTTTCCTTTAACTGGTGTTTTCATTGTCATAGGCAGATGTAGTTCAGAATTTAAAGTCTGGCAAGGCCAGACACGGTGGCTCATGCCTGTAATCCTAACACTCTTGGAGGCCAAGGCAGGCGGATTGCTCGAGGTCAGGAGTTCGAAACCAGCCTGAGCAAGAGTGAGACCCTGTCTCTACTATAAATACAAAGAAATTAATTGGCCAACTAATATATAGAGAAAAAATGAGCCGGGCATGGTGGTGCATGCCTGTAGTCCCAGCTACTCGGGAGGCTGAGGCAGGAGGATCTCTTGGGCCCAGGAGTTTGAGGTTGCTGTGAGCTAGGCTGATGCCACGGCACTCACTCTAGCCTGAGCAACAAAGTGAGACTCTGTCATTCAGAAAGAAGGAAAGGAAAGGGGAATGGAGGAAGGGGAAGGGAAGGAAAGGAAAGGAAAGGAGACAGGAGAGAGAGAAAGAAAGGAAAGAAGGAAAAGAAAAGAGAGAGAGAAAAAGAGAAAGTAAAGAAAGCAAGCCTGGCAATTATAAGGTAAATACTAAGACTATCCTTCGGTATTTATAAATATTAGCCACTACTATGGATAACAGAACTATGTCAGATGGGGAATCCAATGTTTTACTTTATGTTCCAGCCTTTAAATGATACTTTAATACAAAAAACCC